TGTGTTTTTTTCGCGTTAATATGCAAGAAAAGTCAGTCACGAAAATCAAATCCCTCACGATTATTTATACAAAAACCATTCTTGATCACACCCATGCTGATTCGATTTCCGATATCGGAGGATATATAGCTAATACCTGATCATTCTTGAATTTAAAGCGATTTCTAGGTAACAGTTCATGAAATCATGCATTCTCGAATATGTTTGAAGAGATAAGTTTGCGAAATGAAATATTTACAAAATCTAAATGATTTACTGTAAATGCTACATGACGGTGGAATATAGCAATATTGTCTGGAAACAACATTACTGTACTCCTATGATAAACTATTTCTGTTGTATTGATGATATAAGTTTGTCTGGAAATGCAACGTTACTGTATTCTTGTGGTAAAATATTTCTGTTTTAATTCTATCTGTTGTTACAAATTGTACGAGAAGTCATTGTTTTTTTTGCAATATCCTTTGCTAGGGATCGAATTTGTCTATTGTTTTGTTGTAATGAGCCGGAATGGAAGATTTCTTTTGATTCTAAGGATAGGTTTGATAATAATAATATTGGACTACTTATTTCTGTTGTAATAAATACATATATTTTGATGTTGGAATATTTCTGTCTGATGAAAGTCTACTTTGGTAGACTAATTGATTGTTTTGTTGTTGCAAATGAAAAATAAATAAATACAATTATGATCTATGCTTTGTCCTCATTTGTATGAAGTCTTGTCCTGATGACCTCCATAAGATCTAGTGTTTCTGCTGTTTTCTGATTGTACAGAAATACACAAGTGAATAGTACCTTTGAATACAAATTTTAAGTTAGATACAGTAGAGCAAAACTATGAATGCAACTGTATCAAACAGCTGTTTCATCCTTTTATGATTCGTCAGTGATTCCAAGGGCCTACATTTTGAAGCTTAGGAGGCGACTGAGGAAAATCCAGAGTTATCAAAGTCTAACTCTACGTAAGGGGGTGCACTAGCCCCATAATTCAATAAATTTCGTGATTTTCATACATGTGTATGTTCTGAACCGTGCAGCTGCTCAAGTGGGTTAAATGTAACATACAGAGTCACGTCTTCTTGAGTGTACATGTTAATGGTTGCTCTCGTCTTCCTGGTGTCTTCATCTGTCGGTATGTTGGAGGTCGCTCTATGTATCATTTCCCTTTTGTGCGAGTCACCTATCGTTTCACAATCGCCTGTTTATTCTCTTTTTGTCTTTCGGTTCACTGACAGTATAAATCTTTATGAAAAAAACCTTCATTTGATAGTCGTCTTTTTCTATTTCGATTTGGGTTTTTTATGTCTGACATCTCTTCTTTCTTTGACAATCTCACTATTTCACTGTCTTCGAAAGGCTGTTGGCGCTGTTCGATATTTGTGGTTTTCTAAAAACCTCTCTTGACAATCTGTCAGTATAGGGTTCACGAAATAACTGCTCCTCTAAGAAGTGGTTGACGAGGGATGTGTAGCCAGACTAGCATGCATATGGATGCATATTTGCTGTTAGAAACGCCCGCCGTTTCGCCAAGCAGCCGAGGACTCGAGCTCACAAGGAGATTCCGGAGGCATGCTTCCCGGATTGTTTTTGTAACTTGACAATTCGGCGAATTACATTCCACATCTTACCGAGATGAACGAATACCCCATGTAAAAAAGTCCCGTGATTAGTACACCTAGTGAAGAAGATAGGGCTCGGATAAACTGGATGTGGATATACACACGATAGACACCGACATCTTCTCTACATTACCTTATAGAGTTGCAAACGGATATGGAATGAAGACAAAAACACTGTCCGTCGGATGGGACTTAAAACGGTGGCCCATGTGGGAATGTTCAACTGTAACATTTTGTTCACCACTGTCTCTATCACACTGTTGTAATATAAACTAGGTACAAAAGTACAAAACTATAGAGATTACATTTGCATGGTTCCCCTGAGAATCAATTATTTCACGAGTATGAAAGAACATCAATCTCCTAGGAATCACTTCCACAAAAAAGTGTTACAATGTCCAAATTATCATTGACTTTAATTAAATATAATTTACAATTTAAGAGCGATATGCCTAAACGTGACATGTAGTAATTAACTAAGAATATTGGTCCACCCGTCTTCAAATTTAACAGATGATGTCTTCATTAGGGCGCCATGAAATAGGGTACTCTATTGTACAAAAAGTTGAAATAACAGCAGCTGTCATACCAATCCCTAATATTGTGAGTGTCCTCCTCGGAAAGCTATAAAGTCTAATTCTGTGTGTCATAGAATTCATAAGGAAATTAACTGTCCAAAGAGGAATATTATTTTCTCGGAAAGTGCGTTGGCGAAATGGTGGAAGTTAATTGGAATGTTAGCTTGATTCCGACCTCTTCTTCCTATTGTATCCCACGAGCGTTCGATTGGGGACAAATCAGTGTTATATGGAGGCCAATCATGGGGATGATAATTTGGGTCGCAGGACAGTCCTTTTAGACTCTTGAAATGTATGGCCTAAAGTTCTTAAAACTATGGTCTCGAGTTATGTTTAAAGGCCAAATGGTGCCTTATTATAAAAGGCACAACAGGAGACCTCAGGGTATCACCTCGATAGCATAACCGCCGTTAAATTCCCGTTAATGATCACTAAAAGCGTTCTTAAACAATGTGAAATTCCTCCTCATACCATATCCGATTCGTCCGCAAACCTTTAGTTCTCCAAGTCACAACCATCTGCAACAAACTCTCCTCGACGCCGGTACACACGTCGACGGCCATCTGTTGGAAATAACGCGAATTCTTCCGAGAAGAGCATGGTACTCCAGCGCCTCATAGGAAAATGTTAGGTGTCAGTGGCAGACCAACGCACTACTAGGTTTTCCATATATATATCATTTTTGCTTTAAATGGGAGTGCGATACCGTGGGATGCATTTTTGACGTGTAACGGGTATAAATGAAATGGAGATTTCGAAACATACCTACACCCAGTTTACTAATGCGAAAGCGATATCTGAACGATGGCAAATCGACCTCATCGAAATGCGGCGTCAAAATGAAGGCAATGGCAAAACTTATCATTACATCCTATCTGTATTTCATGTTTTTACCAGGTATTTATTTCAAACTTTATTTATTTTACAGCAATTGCGAAACAAGTTCCATCATCTTATACAAATCAATCTTGTTGACCCGGATGTAAGCGTGCGAGGGAGTCTTATTGTGGGAGGAAATCGAAGCACTCGGGGAAAACCCACGAGGTCGGGCAGGTGGAAGAAGAGAAATGTGTACTCTTAATGCACATATTGGACAAAAGACAGCTTAACGGTTACAGAAGATTGTTACCAAAGCTGATAAAAGATGTGACATGCGCAGGATACAAAGCCCAAAAGTGTAATTTATATGTATTTAATGTAGAAGGTAAAGCATGTGTCTGATATCCAAGTGATATATTTAGTCACCTCTTATTGATCATGTCACAGGTTTTCCTATGCCTTACATTGACCTTGTGCGATTCTTTAAATTTATGGTGTCATGTTAGATGCGATGCAGGGGCATGTCTAGTCTGGACTTCATTTACAGCCGAAAAAGTAAACTTTTATGCCAGGGTACTGACAATAGTCAACTTCATGATCGGATGCATCGAGTCTTAATATGAACATAGACATAAAATTGATCTGCGCTTGATAGTCATGTACACATTTCCCAGAAGTGTTATTCATTATGAATGTAATACTATGTTAACTGTGATACGCTATGAACCTTATATATGAAAATCAGTTTTATTTTCAAATATCAGAGCAATGTTCAGTTTTGCAAAAGTCCATGTTCATGTTACCAAATGTCGTATGTCAAGGTTATACAAAAGGCACACAAGTGAAAAACACATTTTGATACAAATTATTGTTAGATACAGTAGAGCCAAATATTAAACTGATCTGCACCATTTAGCTGTTATATGAAGCTGAACGTATTTGATGCTCGTTAGTTTGCCTGTTGGTTCCGTTGTTGTATACCTTGTTCTCATTTTGAGAACGTGACATAACTTACTTGGATTGAGCAAGGTTTACATATTTGGTGTACACAATTAAGCCAAAGACACTTACTCTTCCGCAAGACCTGATCTTATTCTCCTTCTGCGTTTTCAAGAGTCTCCAAGTAAATCTTTCTTTTGTTCATATTTTGCCCTAGTTTTATGGCATTTGAGCTTGGATTATGATTATGTTGCCATGTTGGTATTTTCTTTATTGTCCTTCTATGACACCTTATTGACGCTAAGGTCCTAGATATTGAAGGCTAGGAGGAATTCCCAAAGTGATCGAAAGAATGGCCAATATGTCGGTGGGCTGGTATATCAGCCCCATTATTGAAATTTTTATATGTGGTGTACAGCATATACTGCATTTATTCATCACTTCAAAAGGTATGCGTTTCATTTACAAATTAATAGGTAGTAAAGAAATATAGAAAAAACAAAAGTAAATAGTATAGATAAAATATAAATAAAATCGTGCACAGATTAATGTAGACACACGTTCAATGTTTAAGTCAAGAACTATTAAAGGTCAACAATTCTTCGATGTCACATACATGTATTAACACCATGAATATCGGAGTCTAGTTAGTTGCGACCCAGTTACGTTTGACCCATGTGTTAATAGGCATGTCTCATGTTTCAACCGATGTTTTATGCAAGGTTGTGTCTGGATCAGACCAGATTCATTTAACCTTCCAGGGAATGGAACAGCCAGCAAACCGTCCAATTACTGCTTTCTAAAGTGTAAAATTTCAACCAACGGTTCTTATCTCAAACAACACAACATTTCTCCTAAAAATGGTTTTACTATCATATTTAACACCACCTATTATTTTCCATAACTTTTTCTTACATTTGAAATGTCACTTTTATTAGCATACTGATTTATTCAAAGGCAGTGAAAGTAGGCGTGGCTGAAAAGCTTGTTTAGCATGTTGCATCGTTAGGCAAACTCATGGATGTGTCCTCAGACAAGCAAAATGGCTGTAGATGAAAAGAATAACACACAAACAATAAGGTTTGGCAGCAAAACTGTTGAAATTGGCGGATCACCTCCTGAGCAAGTTGAACTTGTGAAAAGTGATGTGGTGGCGATAAAGGAAAGGTACATGGTGATATTTTATATTTTCATTCGATATTTTATCATTTAAACGGTTTGTTGAGTATTAAAAGAGACGCGCTACAAGTAAGAATATATGAATGCATTGATCATATTTATACTAGACGTAACCATGTTTGATTTTATAATCAGAATAGGTCAAGTATTAATTCAAGTGTATCAAATAATATCATATTTCTTTTTTTTTCAAATGCATTATAAATACTTCGTTGAATATCATTAGTGAAAAAAAAAAACAAATCGAATATGCAAATACATTCTAACACCAAAGTACAACGCAATCAACTTCAGTCGGTAAAATTATTGCAGCAGATCTACTTTATGTCCAAATATAATGAGAAAATATAGTGGATATACAACTCTTTATTTATATCATCTAATATTCAGCGTTATTCTTCTACAACGGCTATATCTGATATGGCTGCTATATACAAAGCGGGACGTAAACTATTTCAAGATGTAATTATCATACCATGTAAAATACATATTTCCTACACAGATTTCTCTCTTGGTTTAGCTATCTTACTCACTGAAATTAATTACCGAATTTGATTTCACGAAGGATACCGATGGCAGGTGACGACGATTATTCATACAGGAAGTGGTTTGTGCTAGTTGCTGGTTTTTATGGCAACATGTGTAACGCATTTGTGTTCAATATGGCTGTTTTAAACACATCTTTCCTCGTGGAGTTCGGCAAAAGTAAAGCGGAAACAGCTCTTGTACAGTCAACTACGGCAGGAATGTTCTTAACCGCAGGTAAATGAAAAGCAAAAATCGAATTGCCATATTTTTCTACAATCTGTAATGTGTGTTCGTGATATTAACTGGGTTGTTTTGGTGTAAGGGCGATATAGGTGCTCAAACAAATGAAGGTAACTCCATAATTATATATTTATCATGTATTTATTCTTCAATTTCGACAAAACATCTAAAGTTAGAAAGGTAGATGCAAGACATAAATATACTCAACAAAAAAGAAAGGTTAACATGTTTCCTTGGCGAATACCTGTAAATGAGTGAAAACAAAATGACGTTTGTGCAATATTAGAAAAGGGTAATGTTTTACATTACAAAATGCAAGAGGGTTACCAAAATCATTCAAGCGTGAAAGTCTGTATTAGCGAAAGAGCTGCACGAGGTTTTCTGCGACTAACTTGTATCTTCGCTTGAATTTCATAAACATTCAAACTGACAACTGTTCCTTAGATCCTTAGGACTTAGAAATCACCGTCTTGCTATCTATCAACTTTATCATTATGCCCCGGCATTTTTCAACAGGATAACGCACCAGCGCACACCAGTCGCGTCAGTAAAACTTTCTTGCAGCAGAATAACGTACAGGTGGTAGATTGGCCATCTAAATCACCTGATTTGTCACCGATTGAGCATGTCTGAGACGTTCTTGTGCGACGCGTGAGGGAACGTCAAAATCAGCCGTCAAACTTGCAGGAGCTGGACCAAGCCTTGATCGCTGAATGGAACAACATCTCTCCTCGAATTATCCGCCGGTTTACGATTTCCATGCGACGACGCTGCAATGCTGTTTACTTCGCAAATGGTGGCCATACCCGTGACTAATGGTGTTACCTTTGAAATTGACCCCAACGTCCTTTACAGTCGAATAAAATCAACTGAACGCAAAGTTTTATAATGAACCATGACTGCAGTTTTATCAGAATTGATCAATTACTTTATTCGTACATGATTGGTAAGGATTTATGAAGGGGTTGATTAATTAATCACAGAATAAAGTAGTGTTACCTTTCTTTTTTTTCGTTTAGTATATATGCATCTTCTTAATAAGTATATGTGTACATTTATAGGGTACAATCTTTTCAGGAGTAATCGTGGGATCGTTTGTATCTAGATATGGTGCGAGGAAAGTAGGCATGGCCGGAGGAATGCTTGCTTGTCTTGGTACCATCGCCTCGTTCTTTGCGTCATCTGTTCCATTCCTTGTTGTCACTTTGGGCATTTTCACAGGTAAACATCTTACTAAATAAAGCAACACTTTGTTAAAATGAAAACAATATCCAGACATTCAGTTAAATAAACATAAACCTAATGCCAAGACAAGTATTTCATAAATTTAATCTAATATTAGGCAGTTATTTCATAAATATAACCTAATGCCAAGACAAGAATTTCATAAATATAACATAATATCCTGTCAGGTATTTCATGAATATAACCGAATGCCACGACAGGTATTTCATAAATATAACTTAATGCCAAGACAGGTATTCCATGAATTTAACCTAATACCAAGACAGGTATTTCATAAATTTAACATAATGCCCTGTCAGGTATTTCATAAATATAACCTAATGCCAAGACAACTTTTTATGAATTTAACCTAATGCCAAGACAGGTATTTCATGAATTTAACCTAATGCCAAGACAGGTATTTCATAAATATAACCTAATGTCCAGACAGGTGTTTCTATTAGTTAGAAGTAATTTGTGTATACCATCCATCGGAAGCTAAACTACGACGTAAATACAATGTTTTATGATTAAAGGTGATTCTGCAAGTTAAAATGTTGTCAAATTTTTATTTTAAAAAATTGAAAGATGTTAGTTATCAACATGCTTATTGGAAACTGCTGGATCTGCATATCTTTCGGTCATCGCAACTAAGGAAGAACCGGCATTTCATTCTCAGCCTTGCATGGAAATAACTGTAAAAACTGCAACTTGGTTCAATATTTTTTAAAACTGAATATGACTTTTAAAATCTGACCCTCAGCTTCAGATACATTATCTGGTAAAGCCTTAATAATCTTGTATTGATTCATGTAATGTCTTTAAATACTTTCGTATATAATGTTTTGCTCATTTTACCATTGCTGACCGAGGTGTAAGTATATGCAAATTCACAGGGAATTTGAATATGTATCATCTAATGTATTCATGCATGAAAGAGTGATAATGAGACGTTGATGATTTCGTTATAGAAGAGAGATATATATGTAATGTATTACACTTCTGGCTGTAGAAACGTAACATAACATTTTGTGCTCATTTTTAAGACTTGAATTAAGTTGTGAATAAGGCTTTACGGAAAGCAGATTAAGCATTTAGTTGAAAAGTATTTTAACCTTTATGAGTTTAACTTACTGATATTTCATCATGTTATGGTATATGAAATTATGCCGTAGTTCCATTATATATTTTTAATTCTCTTAAATTGTGTCCATTGTTCTATATAACAGGCACTGGACTGTCCGCTTGTTACATTGCTGCTCATACAAGTGTTGGGGAATACTTCGATGGAAAATCGAGACTCTTGGCTTTGTCGCTAGTATCGTTTGGTGCCGGATGTGGGAATATTCTATACCCTTATTTCCTCGATGTTCTGACAAGAGAATTCGGGTTTAGAGGATGTTTGTTAATACTCGGAGGGCTAATGATGAATATTATTCCATGTTTCGCAGTATGTAAACCCCAAATTGTCTCTGCTTTGAAGTCGACATTTACTGACATCGACAAGAAAACTATTAGCAGTAAATACCACTGCACTCAAACAAATTGCAAATGGTTTACACTTAAAAGACACAAACTCGAAAAAAAATCCGAATCAACGTTAAAAAGATACCATTCAGTAAAAAGAAGATTTCAGACACTTATTCAAAACAAGAATTTTGTTTTGTTTACACTGGCTATCGTTACTGCTATACCCTCTTGCGATTCCATAATTATTTTTCTCATCAACTTTCTCCAAATGAAAGGCTTTGATCACTCAAAGGCGATATCGATTTATTTTTGTCAGAATCTCTCGAATGCCATGTCTCGTTTTTTACCCGGCATCTTGGATTTAATACCACATTTGAGTGTTTTGTTAATTCCGTCTTTTTTGACAAGTATCGCGGCCATATCCTGTGGTCTCCTACCAACCGCTACCTCTTACGTACAGCACATTGTACTACTGGGATGTTTAGGCATGGCACGAGGGGCAATCTCGACCTGTATGCCCGTAACAACAATGAAGTTGGTTGGAAAAGATCTGTATTCCACTGGCCTTGGGGTCTGTTTAACAGTCGTGGGTATTAGCTGGATGTTGTCTGGACCTATCACAGGTAATTGATCAAAATGTTGCAAGTATTACCTTCTTGGGGGAAAAATGAAAAATTTCATAAGGTAAAAATGTATTTTGTTAGATAAAAACAAATTGCAAATTTTCAAATAATTTTGCATACATAAAGTCATATATTTACTGATGTACAGATACGCACATACCCTTTTTTTGAGAGGTTTAGATCTTCAGTAGAAACATTATTCTTAACCGGTTGAGGAGTACACAAAATGCTTATTGGAAAAAAGTCTAACTGAATCTTTCCTCTTTATCAATATATTTGTCTTTGAATTATACTATTTATTTATGCGTTTATACCTTTGTCTTTGACCTATATAAAATACTGTATTCCAGGACATCTAAGGGACGTATCCGGTTCATATGATCTGGTATTATACTGTGCGTCAGGCAGTCTTTGTATGGCCACCTGCTTGTGTGTGGTGGCGGCTATATTTAGAAAGTATGACAGAAAAAGGACTCCGAAAGACATTAATCTAAGGAATCAAATGAATTCCAAAACAGTTAATGTCGATATGTTTGTTACTGAGAGTGATTAAATAAACAATGATTCTGATTGCTGATGTTTTAATATCCAAATCGGTTATGTTTATCATATGATAGTCCATTTAGATGCAAAAATTGTGCTTTTATTGTAACATGTTCCTTTTTATGTATAGATAATAGGATGACACGTATCTTGTACAAAAATCTATTTTAAGCTAGATAAGGATAATTATCCTTCGGCCCAAAGTAAGAACTGTTAGTAATATGCACATGTAATGGCTAAGATATGGGACAATATGTGAGAAAGATCATATAACTTGTATTTGCTAAAAGTTATCATGACGTCATTAGCATGAAATATCATAAAGGTATCAGACAAATAGGCGGCAGAAAAATTTTGGGTCACGTGTGAGATTTCCCTGTCTACGTTCTGTACCATATCTCTTACTGCCTATTAGTAGAATGATTGTTTTCGTGTTATGCATCATTAATAAACCTCATCGGGTTGCCAAGACAGCATGATTTAGTGTTATTGTTTCGCAACCGAACTGTTTAGTTAAGCATGCATACCTTTACATGCCTAGATGGAGAAAGTTCAGATGTTTCTGCTCTAACTGAAAGTCATGTTTAACCACTACGTTGTCGCTGTTCCAACGCTGTAATATTTGTGATAGAATTTAAAGTGTGTTTTTTGTATGTCTATTATGTCACTTCTGAACATTTTCAAAAGAGAAAAAAACAATCATTTAACCACTTATATCATGAAGGCATCCTAGGGACGTACATTAGATTTCTTTAAAATCTTAATTTGTTTTCAAAACTGATGTTTCTTTAACAGTAAAATTATCATTTCATTCTAATTTTGCAATAAAACATTCATCGAGATTTCAGGTGGTATACACTGCAGGTGGACACTTGGTCACAGTTCAAAATAAACACATTCTTCTAAAAGTCTCAGATTCATGAAATTTAAAGGATTATGAGGCTAGTGCACCTCCCAATCTAAATTTTGACATTTCTTTCGATAATATTGAATTTTCCTTAGTCGCCTCCAAGTTTTCAACATTTAGGCCCTTAACATCAGTGACGAGTATTAGAAGACTTTTATGAAAAAAGTGTTTTAGAGTAATGGCAAAAGCGGGTTGAAATAAAGAATGTCCTGTGCATTCATTTCCATTCGAAATTATCATTATTCATTTGTATTTGACACAGGAATATTGAAACGAATTTGCAATACTTCTAACTCTAAATATGTACAATGTATTTATCATTACCATCATCAATATATGAATGTGAAAACCTATGCCATGTTATGTCTTTCATGTGACGTGACTGTCCAATGTTGGAGTGCCAACGGATGAAGGCACCATACATAATACATATATTTTCTGTTAAGTTGTGATGCTGCTTTCATCGTCGCCAGACACATAACTCAGTATTATCTAATTTGAAGTTATAAATGTAAAAATCAAAGCATACATTACATCATGACAAAAATAGAAACAAAATATTAATACACGTCCTTCAATAATTTTTGTATGACAGGAACCCACGATGGATAAAATCTTCAACAATATCACGTCGACTAACGCTCAATTTAAATCTCAAAAGTGGGATCGGTCAAAATGTGGATAGATAATAAAGACTTAGGTAAATCGTTCTTCGCGAATAGGAATTCCAGTAAAGTCTAATTTGGATCCATGTTGAACATATATAATTTTTCTACAAAACCTATGACTATTTCAATCTTTTTCAAACTTTAAAGTGTAAGATTAACAAAGACATATTTGCACATCTTTCCTTGGAATAAATTCCCTTCGTAATTTTTCATCTTATTAACAAAACATCGTTCAAACCTATATCAGGACAAGTAAATTCTAATAGCAAGATAACGCAGAGGTCCTGATAAGATTCAATATCATTACTAACCAGAAGTAAATATGAATTAGAAGGAGATTCCAAGTAAGATTAGAAATAAAAGAGATATGTACGTTACGAATGACTGCAGCAATAATCATATCGATGACAGCATGTTATGAATATATCAAAAATAATTATCATCCCAAATAATAATTAATATGACATTCTTAACGGCTCGTCAACACATAAAGGGACGTTAACTGGTAAACATACTGCGACCCATAAAGGAAACAACATTAAACAAACTAAAAGGTAAAAGACAAATAGGTAAACCATCACAAAAGATTAAAATGGTACGTCATTGTCTATTATATAGACCAACATCTTTCAGATAATCTAGAATTTTACAAATCTCAACAGTTTCAAAAAGAGTCTTTTTACTTGTAATGTTACGATAAAAAAATCTCGAGTAGGCAGAAGGTCAATGTAGTCCAATAAAAAATGTTTAACGGTGAATGACACATCACATTCTATGCACCGAGGGTTAGCGTCGCCTTTCAACATATATGAATGCGTAAGGGATGTATGACCATCCGAAGACGGGTAAGGACAACTCCGTCTCGATGGTTGTCTCTATAGCATGGAGACCATTCACCGATGATATGTTTTACGGAGTGCAATTTAATGTTAGTATATTGATGCCATTCCTCCTGACACTGAGCTGTTAAGAATTGATAAATAGTTTAAAATCAGTAAAATGTTTTTGTTCGGTGGCCGGCATCCATGTTACTATGTGTTACTATGGCCTTACCATCATCTTTTGAACCATCATTCTATAAATGTAGAAATGTTTTTTATTCTAACTGCAATTTAGAGAAGTATGAACGAAATGTGCAACTGTCGGTGTTTGATTTAACCATTTCATGAAGTGAAACATCAACTTCAGGTGAATTCAAGAGCCAGATTGAGATTCCCATCGTTCCAAATGACTGAATTTGGTCAATATCAAAATTTGTGTTTTTTAAAAGAGTGGAAATTCGAATACTGAATGGTGGAATGGTTTATGGTTTTGAAACAAAGTTTATAATTTGGATCAAATATAAGTGAAAAAGGAGGATTTGAAGGATTTGACTTTAGCTGAATGGTGTATTGCAACTATCCCAAATACAAGCATGCGCAGATGCCGTAAGAATAAAAAAAGTCGTGGATAAAAAATATACAAAAAGTATACGCACTTCTGTTTCAGAAAATATTGCCATCTTATAAATTAACGTAAACAGATATGTATAATCATGAATTTAGTAAACGGGTAATCCAAATGTAAGAAATACCATATTCATAAGAATATGGGTATACGACAATGAGGAAATGGCGGTCAGTCTAATCACATCTGAACTGGGTCCTAAACATCTTAAATACGTAAAATCTGCATAAAGACATGTTCTTTTTTGAAAGTAAGGATCTTCGATGAAACTTGTGCATTGATCAAATGAACAGCTGTCTGTGGGACTGCACAACGCTACCTGATGTGTGATGTGTGCAAGATGTCTGCATGACAGGAAAGCTGAACGGAAGCTGCTATCGGACACATGTACGATTAAATTATGTTTCATGTAAGTTTAGAAGAGACCTCTAAATAAGTGTGGAATTGGTTTTATTATCCAAATATGATAGAGTAAAGTTAAGTATATTTCCTTACTAAGCCATATATTTATAGATCAGAAATATGTAGATCAAACAAGTACAAACTCCATAGTTATTTACACTCGTCACCGAGATAAGTTTGTTTACAAAGTACCGCATGTGACCAGTCAAAGTGTACAGCCATTACATACATGTATGTAATCATCTTTTCTTGTCTCGGAAATGAATCGTCTGAAACATTGCTTCATAAGAAGGAAATTATTCTGATATCACTTCTGTATTTTCTTTTTTTATCATTTTGAGCAGAAAAAAATATACTTCCATAAATTTCAAGTTTCATGTTTGTTATTCCGGAGATCATGACCCCTTGCTTTGTCTTCTTCCGCCACACCTTTTCAATATGGGCGCCAACACAAAAAAGCACGTGGCCACACCCATACCGGCCGACGCGGAGTATAGTGCTAAGTCGTATGATCCAGACATGTCCCTTAGATATCCTGCAAAACAAATCAATATCATATTGTGCTTTACTGTAGGAAGGCTTGAAAAACGATGTGTTGTTAGCGATAATTTCACCATAGAGATGGAGGGTGATTCAGCTGATAAGATGATCTTAAGTCTAACATAGTCGCTGTGCAGTAAATCAAAAGTAGAAAGTATTTGATATCTTACCTGATATTGGTCCAGCCAACATCTCACTGACTCCAAAGACCGTCAGAGTGACGCCAAGGCCGGTAGAATACATATCTTTGCCTGTAATCTTCATTGTGGATACAGATATACTCGCGATGTTACCTCCACGAGCCACTCCCAAACAAGCCAGTAATATCAAGTGATGAACGTACGAGGTAGCGATGGGAAGAAACCCACAAGCAATGGCCCCAATACTTGTTATTATGGCAGGAATAAGCATAACATTGAGATGTGGTATCAGGTTCAAGACACCAGGTGCAAGTCGAAACAAAGCGTTGGAGACGCTGAGACAAAAGTACAAAGATATTGCACTAGGATGATCAAAGCCTTTCATATTCAAGAAGTTAATTAGAAAAATCATTAATGAGTCATTAGCTGGAATTGCCAAAACCATACCCAGCGTAAAAATAACATAGTCTGTGTTTTGTAAAAGTTTGACAATCTTTGCACGAATTGTATTTTCCTTGTGGAGCTTTACTCCAGACCTATTCTTGAAACTGAACAGTTTGTGAAACATCTGGAGGCAATAATGTTTTCCTTCACCTTCGTCATGTTCTAAATTATTCATTTTCAGTTGCATAACACCTCTAGTTTTTGGTTCACATATTGCGAAACACGGAACAATATTCATCATCATTCCTCCAATTATCAACAAACATCCTCTCCATCCGAACTCTCTGATCAAGTAGTCGAGGAGATAAGCATATACAATAGCACCACATCCAGCTCCGAAGGAGGCAAGTGACAGAGCCATGAGTCTTGGCTTTCCATCGAAGTATTCTCCCACACTAGTGGCAGCTGCTATGTAGCATGCGGACATTCCAAAGCCTGTTAATCATACAATCGTAGACGGCTC